TCCACGTTCTCTAGGAGACATTAAAGCGTAATGAGCCCTGCAGGAAAAGGCATTTTTAAAAAGGAACAGGAAAACACAAGTGCAGTCTGGATGTATACTCAATACTGCAAAGATGATTGAATTCAATTCTGGATAGTGACTCTCCTTAAGCTGTTTTACAATCGTGAAGTCAGCATAAGCGACAGAATGAGAATCAGCTTACCGTATAACCTCTTGGTAGAGGCTCCAGCAATGCTAAGCTGCTGCAGAAAACACAAATGTCTTTGGCATAAAACCTATATTCCAACCTTACGAAAAGCCACTTAAAAATGAATAAAGCAGTGCTAAATTCTTAGATACACAGCCACACAGTAAGAGAATTCAAATAGCCAAGTTCTTGGCCTGCAGTGCTGAAAAATGAAAGCCAAGCAATTAAAGCTGAGAAATTGGATTACATAATCTTACAGCAGGAGACTCGGATCAGCTATAAAGAATTTACTGTTTGGGTTTAGAAATAACTGAGACATCCTTTTACCTGGGATGGATCAAGCAGCGCTCAATATAGGAAGGAGACGGGAGGAAAGAGAAAGACTACATGCGTTCCCAAACCACCTTCTATCCTAGAGTTTCTGAAAACATGAGAAGTAAACTACAACTGCCAAACAGTGAAGGTTAAAAGATGAACTTTCACCTTCTACCCGGTTATTTTAGGGCTCATCTCTCTCCGCATATGTTAGTCACACTGATCAAGCAGCCCCCACGTAATTATGTATTTCATAGTTTTTTGAAATGTTCATTTCTTCCATCTGTGTTGCCCCAAGTAACATCATGAAATAATTCATAAGAAGGTGTGCCAGACTATCTCGTATCACCTTTTATCCCTTGCACTGAATACAGTATACGGTGCAAGGGATAAAAATTACTAAAATCACTGTGAATTTCTCATCAAAACTAATCTTTGACAAGGCTTTTGTTTTTCCTTTCCTATTTTTTCATTATCTTTTATCTGTTTTGCAAGTACATAATGTATAGTTTCATCTAGAAATTAACTGTCTCTTTGTTTTAAACGAAAGAAAATATCTTAAAATAAACAAATAATCCTCAAGGAGAGTGGAAAATCTGGAGGCCATACAACCAGGATCACCGTAGGATTCCTTGTGTTATTCCTGGCAATTTGGGAGGTAATCACAAACACCAGAATGGCTAGGGAACAGAATTTGTAAAGATGTAGTACTTTTGGATCAACTATCCAAGCTCAATTGAATTTTTATCACAATACGTCAGTCATGCTGCCCCTCATTTCTCTCAGTTCTAACATGAGAATAGCCTTTGAGACCAACCTTTCTTGCCAAAGGTTGAACGAAATGTTTGACTCACTTCAACAGGAATGACGGTAGACACAGTGTGAGTGGCTGGAGGTAGATGAACTGCAGGAAGTATATTCCTCAGGTGAAGGTAGAGCTGCTCCTCTAAGCGAAGGGAGCACACCAAGAATAAAAGATGCTGCAGGTGCCAGTTCTTGGGCTGTTTGGGGTTTTTTTTTTATAATAGCACACAGTAAATGACTTTTCCCATAGGTTATTTGATTAGCTATTGCTCATGATGATTCAAACTAAGAACAAGAGAATTCCCCCATCTGCAAGTAGGGTACATGAGTTACAGGCAACAAACTCCTTGAGTCCACCAAGATTGAGCTGAAAACTTAGGTTTAAATAATAGAAGGTGGAGATGAGATACATAAATCACAGCAACAAATACATGATAGACACAGACAACAAAGAACTGCTAACGGAGAGCTTTAATCATCACGTGTAAAAACAATACATTCAAATATCAAAATTGGCTCCAAATTCTTTATCATGATCAACATCAACAGTCTAGAAATGAAATGACACACTAATATAAAACTTTCCTGTTTATAACTAAAAGATTTATGAAACTATTTTTTATAAACACATTTTTTTACCCTGAGGCTGATATCACCAAAGTGAAAAAGAAAAGTCATTGTCAGCTGGAATGTATTCAATACAGAGTTTCAAAAACCACTTATCATTATTCTAGTGATTTCTATTCATTCTCCCTACCCACACTATGTGATGATAACAGAAGAAGATGGCAAATTGTTGTGTCCAATCTTATTATATACTTACTGGTCATCTAATTCTCAAATGTACTGATTATGTAATTCTCAATTCAATCTACTTACCAAAACAAAGAAATAAAATTTTAACATCCATTAACTCTATACTATCATATTTTAAGATATGTTATCAAAATCAGTTCTGTCTTATAAAAGAGGGGTTGGCAGACCAAACAACATTCTCAGACCAAACAACAACAACAAAAACAAAAACAAAAAAATCACAGTACTTTCCTACAATGGCTACTGCAGTGCATTCTACATATGTCATATAAACCAACTAGGTAAGTTCAGAGTTCACATCGATTGCCTCACAAATACTGATCTGCAAATGTCTGAAAGAAAAATAACTCCCAAATGCTGCAACAGTTATTCCATACAAGTGCTGAGACAGGTATGCATATTAAACTTGAAAAAAGATAGCCACGTTGAAGGGAGGACTATTTTAATATGGTTTTTTTTTTTTTTTTTTTTTTGGTATATAAATAACAAATAAATAGAAAAAAAAGTTTTTCAAAACCTGAATTCCTAATGTCTCTAACATTAATTTTTGTGAACAGGTTTAGAGCCATGGTGTGCTACCTCTCACAAGGCAGCCTAGCGACTTTGCCTCCAATTATTTTCATGATAATCTCTAGATGCTGTTTAGAGTGCTTTTTCTAAATATTCTCAGCACTTCATCTAAACCAGCAGTTAGACTGCATACCTGAGTCAGGAAATCTTTGTTACCACTTTATTTCAAAGTATTCTACATGCAATTTCCTGGGTATTACTTACCTCCCATTGCACAATTACGCAAATGCTGGCCTGTAATGGAAATCTGGGGGATGATGGCACTTGAAGAATTATTATCCCTAATCTAAGTCTATACTCTTTACTTTTATTATTTGTAGATGCCTTTCTAATTCAAATGATTTAAGTGAACAATATAAGAAAAAGACACTGGAATTTTTTAGGAAGTTAAATTGTATTCACTAACTCTCAGCCAAAATTGGGCAAGGATAATAGAGAGAAAATTCAGTATTAGAAAGAGTTAGGGAAAGGCTTTCTGAAAAAGACTTGGTACATGTGCTCTCTTTTAAAGGTAGAATCACAGAGAATCAGGCCTGGCGCAGTGGCTTATGCCTGTAATCCCAGCACTTTGGGAAGCTGAGGCAGGTGGATCACTGCCTGGCCAACAAGACAAAACCCTGTCTCTACTAAAAACACAAAAATTAGCCGGGCATGGTGGTGTGCACCTGTAGTCCCACCTATTGGGAAAGCTAAGGCAGGAGAATTGGCAGAACCCGGGAGATGGAGGTTGCAGTGAGCTGAGATCGTGCCACTGTAAAGAGCAAGACTTTACCAAAGAAAAAAAAAAAGGAAAGAAAGGAAGGGAAGGAAGGGAGGGGAAGAGAGAGAGAGAGAGAGAGGAGGGAAGAAAGGGAAAGAAGGAAGGGAGGGCAGAAAGAAGGAAGGAAGAGAAGGAGAGAAGAAAGAGAAGGAAGAAAGGGAGGGAAGAAAGAGAAAGAAGAAAGGAAGGGAAGAGAGAGAAAGAAGAAAGGAAGGGAAGAGAGAGAAAGAAGAAAGGAAGGGAAGAGAGAGAAAGAAGAAAGGAAGGGAAGAAAGAGAAAGAAGAAAGGGAGGGAAGAAAGAGAAGGAAGAAAGGGAGGGAAGAAAGAGAAAGAAGAAAGGAAGGGAAGAAAGAGAGAGGAGGGAAGAAAGGGAAGGAAGGAAGGGAGGGAAGAAAGAAGGAAGGAAGAAAAGGAGAGAAGAAAGAGAAGGAAGAAAGAGAAGCAGAGAAGAAGGAAGGAAGGGAGGGAAGAAAGAGAAAGAAGAAAGGAAGGGAAGAGAGAGAAGGAAGAAAGGGAGGGAAGAAGGAAGGAAGGAAGGGAGGAAGGGAAGAAGGGAGGGAGGAAGGGAGAAAGGGAGAAAGGGAGGAAGGGAGGAAGGGAGGGAGGGAGGGAGGAAGGAAGAGAAAGAGAAAGAAAGACAAAAGAAAGAAACAGAAAGAAAGAAGAGAAAGAAAAGAAAGAAACGTGAAAGACTCTTACCCATCACATGGGCAATTTCCCACCTGGTGCCTGAACTCTATACAACGTGCCTGCCAAGCTGCTGTCTCGCCTTACTAGAATACCTTTAGGGGAAGGAAGGTGTTCCAACACTTCTCATCTTCCTTACAATGGAACAGCAAAACAGATGGAACAGGTAAACAAGTTTCCACTAAACATCATTAAAAATTATACTTAACTTTTCAAGAGAGTAGATTGTCAAAAGCTACTTAAAAGGATAAACCAGATTTGTCTCAAGCATCCTATGCTGTCAATGATGTTTCAAAATGGAGAGACACAAATTTGAAATATGAATTTTAGAAATAATTATTGAATAGCTTTGTGCACTTCAGGGGAAAAGGTAAAAAAAAAATCTTTGAAATGATCATTGTTGAGACTCTAAAATAAAAGGAAAATAAATGTTTGAATAATAATTTAAAGTTTCACTTTGAAGATACAATAAATACCTTGTGCAGCAAGTGGTGGTGCAAGAATCCAAGAGCCCAGGTGGATGAAGTGCAGGCTAATAATATTTTGCAGCAACTATCAATTCAGATGTAGGAGACAGAGGAGAATGGCAGGAGCAAGTCTGAGGCTGCCGCCTGCTATCCTAAGGCAACTGGAAAGCAGGACACTCTACCTTGATTTCCTCCTTCTGACTTGTTTGACAGCACTGCAAATAATTGTCGTTTCTGATTTCTCTCAAGGTACTCAGACTGTTTCAGAGTTTTAAATCCCCGCTTCAGAAGACCAACAAAGCAACATATGAATTGGTGGATGATACTACTACCTGAATTCAATTTACAAAGAATCAATTCCTCTAAATGGACATCTTTACGTCTGAATTTCTATTTTTTCAATACTTATACGAATAAGTCTATTTAAACTAGTCATTTATAACACACGTGTAAACTTTAAAGATCTGAATTACCACATTAGTTGAGACTCACCTGATTCCATTTTGAATGGTATCTTTCACCCCTATGCGTTAAAACGACAATGATATCAATTTTGAACAAACAAGACTATAAGAAACAGGCAAAAACCAACCTTAAAGTCAGTATTGTCTTTTTATATGGAGGCCACATTTTTTTCATATCTGTTTCATATCAGATAATTAACATTTACTGGCTAGATGACTGGAGAGCAAATCTTCCTGCAAAAAGGAATAAAGCCTTCTTGACCACTGAGATTTGGAAGTGAAATCAATGAAAGTCTATCAAGTACTCAGGATAGATTTGGTTGGCATCAAAAACCACAAAGATCTTTGGGTTCCAGGTATCATCCACACAGCTGTCATATAAATTCACATAGCTCCCATCTTTGGAAGGAGGTCGCATGTATTTGGAGTCTCCATTTATGTAATCTCCAATTAGCACTCGAGCAAGAAACATAGATTTGTATGTTCTAAACAGATGCCGCTGTTGCAAGCTGACACCATGAATTTGGAATGTGTTTCCATGCTTTATGTCATCCTTGCAGAAACGACTGGAATAAGCAGCATCTCTAGCAAAATACGTTCCTTAAACAAAGAGGATCAAGAAAAGCCAAGATTACTCCTAAGAATATGTTAAAAACAAGCAAAAACATTTTGTCAGGGGAATAGATGCATGGAATTGTAGAATAAAAATAGATGTGGAATTTCCTCATCTGCAAATCTTTAAGAAAAGAAGAGAAATCCATCTGTGGTATAGACTGCCATAGAAATAGATTTGTTGGTACAGAAAAGTCCTCACCACCACACCATCCCCTGCCCCCATCCACCAAAATATAGCTACCAGACTTCTGTTTTTCAAATAAATCTTACAAAGAATCCAATTAATAAAACAGATACTAAAAGTGTGGCTGAACCTGAGTTGTTTTTTGTTGTTGTTGTTTTGAGATGAAGTCTGGCTCTATCTCCAGGCTGGAGTGCAGTGGCGCGATCCCAGCTCACTGCAACTTCCATTTTCCGTTTCAAACAATTCTCCTGCCTCAGCCTCCCGAAGTGCTGAGATTACAGGCATGAACTACTGTGACAGGCCTTTTTTTAGGGGGTGGGACTACAGGCACGTACCTGGCCAATTTTTTTTTTTTTTTTTTTGTCGAGTCTTGCTCTGTCGCCTAGGCTGGAGTGCAGTGGCACGATCTCGGCTCACTGCAACCTCTGCCACCCGGGTTCATGTGATTCTCCTGCCTCAGCCTCCTGAGTAGCTGGGATTACAGGTGCATACCACCACGTCTAATTTTTATATTTATTCAGTAGAGATGGGGTTTCACCACATTGGCCAGGCTGATCTTGAACTCCTGACCTCAGGTGATCTGCCTGCCTCAGCCTTCCAAAGTGATGGGATTACAGGTGTGAGCCACCACACCCGCCCTGAGTTTTATTGCTTGGCCCTCCCTCCCATTTCTATTTCCTTCCACCACTTCCTCACCCTGCTCCCTTGTCAGCATCAGCAAAGCTCTAGAGAGCACAATGGAAACTGATGGCCTACAGAGATTCTTTTAAACCCCAAGAAACCATATGTCTATGATATGGGATAACATTCAGTAATATTTCTGGAAACAACAGAATCCCATAACCATGAAAAGATTTCTGAGAGAATATAATGCTATTCATATATGAGCATTCCAAAAAAACGATTTTACTGGCTCATTGCCTACACATGAAAATTTGATAAAGCAGCCAACTCTTCTGAAATAGTAAACACAAGAGATCAACTGACACCATTAAGGGCATACATACTCTAAAAAGTTTTGGAAATGAATTTTTATTTACCTAACATTGATGGGAGTTATGTAACACCTTCTGACCTCCTTATAATTAAGTGGAATGGTCTTTTTAGTAGTTATTTCTAAAATTAATTTACATTTTCAAAATGCAGCATATACTGATCCTAAATGGGGTAGTTCTCTTGCTGGAGGTAAGGTACAAAGGAAGGGCCAGAAAAATAAATGTCCGTTCCGTACCTTTTCCCTTCACCTCTCTCCTTAATTTGCTTGAGTAGCAGGCAAAAATGGAGAAGGTTGGATCTTCACAACGTTGTAAATAACATACAGTTTTCCCCCACTATTCCTTATTGCTCAATAATATTCTTACCTATCATTTCCTTAAAAACAAAAACACTACTACCTATTCTGGTGCATAACGTAATTATAATCAATTTGTTTTATCATTCTCTGTATATTTGCCATAAAGCAGTTTAGTGTATAGGCTAATATATGGAAAGAACTTACACACAAAAATTAAACATAATGCAAAAGAACCAGCTAATATGGACATGATGCCCTTTTTGGACGACTGGGACTGGGGGAACTATTAAACCTGGCAGAGACGGTAAGAGCGTTACTTCCATCTTGTGAATGTAGATGTAAGAAGTGACTTTCCTGTGACTCAGAAATTCTTAGGGTATGCCTGGAACCTAGCACAGTAACTTTTAACTTAATGACTGCCAAACTCCTAAATTATAAAAAAAAAAACTAGAGAGAGGAAACTCTCTCCTAGGACTCAAATTGGACCTGGAATTCTGATAGTTACCTTTTCCAAAGACAGCACCATGTATACCATTTATTCTCCAATCGAAGTTATGAATACAGATTGCTTCCACAAATTCACTGCTGGTACCATGAAAGAGCATTTGTTCATTAATCTGAGGCACACCTCTTTTTTTCTTGAGCTGAGCTTTTTTCCTAAAAACACAATACACAGACACGAAGGCACATAGAAATATATCATAAGTAGTATGTATTAATCTTAATAAGCAAGGTTCAATAGAAATGGGGAGACAGAAAATAATATAAATCACAAATGGACAAAGCAAGTATGGAAAAGAAATAATTTCAAATGTTCTTGGACACATAAATCATCTCATCAAAAATTATTAGTTAACACTGAAACTTAAGGTTGAAAATTATGCCAAAAACTATAGTTATCCCACGCTATGCCCCCAGCATCGTAAAGGTAATTGATCGTCTAAACCACGTAAGCTTTACAGATGCCTAAAAACAAGACAACAAACAAGAAATACAAAGTTTGCAGAGACTTTAGACAGTGAATTCCTTGAGCAGGGACCATGTCATATGCTTTTTATCCTCAGAAACTAGAAAATGTTGGTTGAACTGGCTAAATTTTGTACCATAGGGTTAGGAGGGACATTAAGCCATCCAGTTTAATCCTCTTCCCAAGGACAAATCTATCCTAACACATAAAAGCATATTTAATGTAGGACTGATTGTAACTGAAAACAGTCTAAAATTATTTCACAGAGAAATAAATATATAGTCATGTATTTATATATAAAAGTTTAAAGTAATTAAGTAGATCTATGTGCATTAACACAGTAAATCTTGAAAAATAATATTGAATGTAAAACGAATTTTGCAAAAAGAGACAGGGAACTCAAAATAATACTGTATTGCGTAGGTATACATACACAGATAGTAAAAAATACAAAATACAAACAATAAGCATCACACCAATCTCAGGAGGAAAAAAGGGGAGTAGGACAAGAATGGAGTAAACACTGCACCTGTATCTGTGTGAAGAGAAAGGAAATGTGACAGGTATTAAAATGTTAAATCTGATTGGTAGATATATGGGAGTCGGTAAACTATTTGCTGCATTTTCATTCTTGAAATACTTCATTAAAATAATATTTTAAAAATTAAGAAGAATATCCTCCCCCTGACATCTGATACCTATTTAATGCCTGCTTCAATCCATCCAGTGTCAAGTACTCACAGCATCAGGTGCTCACTTTGCAAAACAGCACAATCTATTGGTAATTAGCTATAGTTGTTGGAAAGTACTTCCATCCCAATGCCAAACCAAAATCTGCCTTCCGCTGGTCTTACTTATTCTCTTTTGAACACAAACAATTCAGATAATTCTTACACAAAACAACTCTGCGAATATCCAAAAATAACTGTGAACACCTAGCTAGGCTTTCTTTCCTTGGTTAAATGCACACCATTCCTTCAGCTACTCCTGACACAGCATAGCTTCTAGGTCTTTCTTTATCCCAACAGTCTTTAGTTAACAAGAATCTACTGGATACTTTCTAGTTTTTATTTATAAATGTTGGTGTAAAATAGAAACAGTTCAGATATCATCAGACAGCACTGACTCTACCAACACCACTGAATGCATTTTGGTAACTTGGGCCACAAACTGCCTCCATAACCAAGTGTGTAGTCAGTTAATACTCCCAGGATGTTTTCAAACCAGACCTCTCTTAGCTTGCTGTATTTGTACAACTGATTTATAAACTGAATGCAATAGATTTATTTCGGTTAAGCTTTAGTTAGTATAGTAATTTAAAAAGTAAAAATTAAATAACAGTAAAATAGCCGTATCTCAGACGGAGTTTTATAAACAACATGGAGCTTGATGAATATGTGCGGGAACGGATACTTGCATTTAAATGGTGACAGAATGAAAATGCATACAGTCTTTCTCAAGAGTCATTTGGCGGTATGTACCAAAATTTACATGTATATGATTTGATCTATTTGTGACAGTCTTTTCAGACATTAAGTATGACTTTAGAAGGATGTGCATTGAGCAAATGTTTATGCTAAAAAAGCATACTTATCACTAAGAATTATACCAACTTCCTTTTTTATAACTTTATGTCCTTTTTTAAAACAATGTACATCTGTTCCCTTTATAAAAATGAAAAAAAAAAAAAAAAAGACAATACCTGTTTTGACCCAGTTTCAACCTTCCAAGGTCTTTCTGACTGCTGATTCACTCACTTAACAAATAAGCTAACCCTTGTAGTTTTGAATCTTTCACAAGTGTGATAAGCAAGCCCTCTACATTTTCATCCAAGTTTCTGATAAAAATATTGACAGACCCAAGAAGAAAGCATGCATGCCATTCGAATTACTCTTTGTATAAGCCTTTTTCTACTAGTTTTTCTCTTTGAACTATCAACCAGCACTATTTCTCCATCTTGTCTTCATGAAAAGAAACTTTCTCAACCACTATAAAGTGAGAAACCAAGCTAGACTGTCTAAGGGGCCTAACCATCTACCACTATGGTAATCCTATTAGTTAGTTTGGCATTAGTCAATCCATCCTGGTTTTCTCAAAGAAACATTAGTTTAATACACAATGCCAGGCTTCATGCTCTGTAATGTCAAACTTGTCAATATTGTGCTTCACGACCTGTAATGACTAGAATCCACTCAAGGGAAATTCCAACTCTACTAAAAAACACAAAAATTAGCTGGGTGTGGTGGCACATGCCTGTAATCTTAGTTACTCAGGAGACTGAGGCAGGAGAATCACTTGAACCCGGGAAGTGGAGGTTGCAGTGAGCCAAGATCGCATCACCACACTCCAGCCTGGATGACAGAGTGAGACTCTGTCTCAAAACAAAGAAAAAAAAATCACTTATCACTACTTTGCAAGCACAAATTAGAGTAAATCTCTGTTTGAAAATTGTCTGGAGTTTCTCGTAGATACTATAAATAAACTGTGGGTTAAAGGGCACGAAGTATGGGCATATGCAGGCATGGAAAGCAATGCTTAGTTACTAGATTAAATGGTGCATATAAACCAGGTGAAGGCAGAGCAGGAGCACAGTGGTTAAAGCTTTGTATCCCCACAGCAGTTTTTCTAGTGCCCACTACTACCACTACTAAGGCAGCCGCAAAATCTGGACATTCACAGATTATGACCTTGGTGTTCCAGAAATGCTAAAGATGAGTTCCAGGGCCTCATGAACTTTAGTTACATCTGTAAGGAAAGTCACAGGACTACACTAAGTTCTTCACAACCCTGCCCAGCTTTGCCCAGACCCACAATCATTCCTGAACTTACTGAAAGTACCATCACACCCACTTCTCAACGGTGTCTCAAAATTTCCACCTCTTGGGGACTACAGTGCCAAGCTGGCTAAAGTGTGTAAGTCACATGCTCTGTACTAGAGCAGGAATACTTCCATGCTCTGGATTGAAAATAAGCTGCCTAGATTTAGAACAGATTTTTATCCTGCTGAACAACAGAATCACTTACAGAATTTTTTAAGGTAAAAATGTAAGAACCCAGAGGTTCTGATGCAGTAGATCTGTGACAGGTGACAGGTATCTCCACTTGCCAGTAAGTTCCACCGGTGATTCTGACCTGCAACTAGGCTTGAAAATCTCTGATCTAAATTCACATTATTAACAAGATGCTCTGATTTCCTTGCTGCCTTATACTTCCAGCTGTGGATCAATCCAACCATCTCCACTGTCTGCCCTTACATTTGTACTGCTGAAGTACATCACACAACATCCCCATGGTCTGCACTATAACTTCACATACTCCAACTTTAGCTAAGCTCTCAATACTGACAGAAATCTTACGGTTCCCAAGAGAGCTCGTTCTCCCCACTTTCCACAATGGCCATTTCGAATCTTTTCTTTCCTCTTTTCTTTCCCTCTTAGCAACACCTCCCTAACACTTTATTCTCTGTAGGCAACCTCCCTCCTTCTTTCACAAAAGAAATGGAAGGCCTCAGGAAAGAACTCATTGACCTCACTCCTCTGCTCATCCCCTACCTCTGCTTATGCGTAAACATAACTGGACCACCCTTCTGTATCTCCTTTCTGACATATGTTCTCAGAATTTCATCTCATCGCACTTCTTCAGGAGCTAGAATCCATCAACTGCCCTTCCGCTCTTTTTCTGATCTTTTAAATTCTCCTTCTCCATAAATCCTTCCCAATTACAATGTTCGGTTCTCTCCCATGATTATATAACATAACAATAACCACACATTATCTGTCTTCTCACATCTCTCATCCTCCTCACTGGCAAGTTTCTTGAAAAAGTTGTCAACATTTGCTGTATACACAATACGGTGTCTACCAACGTTGCTTTCATCTAGGTTACCAATGACCTTCTTATTGCAAAATGCAAAGGAGCTTTTCAAATTTATCCTATTTGACATCTTTTCAGTATGTAATCCTACAGATGGCACCAACTGATGTAAACCACATTCTCCCTCCAGCTTCTGTGGCTTTACCTTCTATTGGTTTTCTCCCACTTCCTGTGGCTGTTAGTTTCCTCACTGGGTTTTCTCTTCCTCTGTTCATCCCTTCCAGAATTGGCCCTTGGCCCTCTTCTTTCTTAATGTACATACGCTCTCTGGTCATCTTCTTCATTCCTATAGTTTCTATTACCCCACATTTTCTAACAACTCTAAAACCTTTGTCTCTAGTCTACACCACTCTTCTGAATTCCTAACTCATATGTCAACTGTTGTATATCAAATACTACTCCCTTTCCATCATCCCTACAGATGTTCCTACTGATATTCCCTTAGTCAAGTAAAACTAGCCAAAAACTTGGGAGTTACCCTTCTCATCTCCCTTATTCACCCCATTGCATACAGTACGTGAGGCACCAAGCACTATCATTCTACAACCTTAATACCTCAAAACTGTCTTAATACCTCAAAACTGTGTCTGCAACACAGCAGTTATCACTTTGGGTCAGGCAACCCAATGTGTCTCAGTCTAATTACTGAAACAATTTCCTAAATTTGTCTCTCTGCTTCAAACTGTGATCCCTTTAAAGTACTGAGATTTTGTGCTAGACATTTCTTCATTGTGGAAGGCTTCTTTGTTGTGTTGTGCACTGTAAGATGTTTAGCATCCCTGGCTCCTATCCAGTAGATGCCAGTAACACTCCCACCCTCTCACATAACAATCATTACCAAATGTCCCCCAGCAGGTAAAATCACTCCCAGTTGAGAACCACTGCTTTAAATACCTTCTCCATGGTACAGCCTAATTATTTTTTTTAAATGCAAATCAGTTCCATCATTCTCTTGCTTAAAGTTCTGCAATGGCTTTCTACTATTCCAGGAAAAAACACAAACCTCTTAGTTTAGCTTTTAAGGCCCCACATGGTCTGGACCCTGCTAACTCTCTGACTTCCACTCTGGTTCAATCCAACTCAACTAAGGCTACTAAAGACAGTTACACAACCACCCCAGTAGTGCTACTAAAAACTCTTGCATGCTCTGCCTCTTGATACTATTCCAGCCTCCTCTCTCACCATTCTACCTAATTCCTGTTCAATCTGAAATTGTTTCAGTTTTCTGTGCTACCTCTTATATCCAGACTTTGGCTTTTACTGCTCCTGATGCCTGAGATGCCCTTCTCCTATCCAACTGGTGTCCGGGGATCCCACATTCTCCTCACCCTACTCTACATCCTCTACTTTAGTCAGCAAAGGTGGATGGATCCCCTCACTTTGTGCTCCTATGATGCCCTGTGGTGACCCCTACATTTCTGTGTTACAACAGTCTGGGTCCTTGTCTAAGCTATGGTTCTCTGAACCATTATTCCAAGTTCCCAGAACAGTGCTTGTCACAAAGTAGGTACTACGACATTTTTGTCAGAAAAAGTGGGGGAAGTCAGAGAGACCTAGGCAATGTGAAAACTGATGCCAAATGGACTCAGGTGGGACTGACTACCTATATGGTAAGTCGGGTCATGTGACAGTGAGACAGACCAAGTTATTTTAGTTATTCAGGAAGATGTTAAAATGACAGGCTGCCTTTATAATGAGACTCAGTATTTTGTACTGTCATGGCAGGTGACAGGTTCATTTACCATCACAGATTTCTATAGGCTGACATTACATAAAACCATGAAGGGCATCACCAGAGTAAAACTTTTTCCAGTGAAATTCTTAGTATAAAATATTCTGAGGAATCGCTGGTACATTTTTACCACTATGATTTAATTGAGGACTCAAGTAATGAGGGAAACCAATTTGATCGCCACTTCAAAGGGCTGATGAAGAATAATGAATTAAGTTTTCATCAGACTATTTTAGAAAACGTACTTTATTCACTGAGAGAATAAAGTCAAAGGAGGCAGAATCATCTAAAAGATAAAAGAATCATCTAAACAAGAACTAAATTCAACTTTTAAACTCAGTTAAACTCAGTTATTGTCAGAAATAAAAGCTGGTTTGGTCAACAGACCCAAGACAATAAAGAACACAGGCTGAAAGCCCCTTATTTACCGTAAACTATGATGAGAATAAACCTGGAATGTACACAGGCCATATTAACTAGTCATTCAGAAGCATGAAAGAATTCCATGTATCATCATTACCAAACAAAAGTCAGCCTAATTCTTAAGTATGTAGAAATGAAATGAGTTATGGTCTAGGTTTGCTTTAAAATACTCTAGCAACAATAACAAAAAAGGAGACAGTTTATGGTGGTAAATCTTGACAGATGTTGAATCAGGATGATGGATACATGAGGCTAATTATATTAGACTATACTTTGTGTTTATTTGCAATTTCTCTGAATCAAAAGTTCAAAGTCAGCTTGTATTTAAAAATATTAGAAATCAAATCTCATCTACAAATGCTAAAAATATTTCAGAGAACCACTTATTTTAATTTTTTACAGGTCATAAAAATATGGCAGAACTGGCTAATTTGGATAATACTTTTAATATCTTAAGTTTTCTTTAATGGACTTTATTTTCAGTTAAGTGAATAATGAGTCACCCAATGGGTCATTTCCAACTTAAATCTAGTAGGGAATTGAGATTAACACTAAAAAATAAACTTTAGGCTAAGCAGGATATTTGAAGTTACGTTTTAAAGTCTTCTTTAAAATAAAACAGACAAAAGGCTATTGGCAAGAATGATTGTTCAAAACGAAACAAAACAGTGTTTGCGCGCAGACTTCTAATACAAGGCTAAGCCAAGTAAGTCATGTCAGCAAAGCTAAACGGCTCCCAGACTCCTCTGTAATGCTGATTTCAGCCAAGATGCACAGCTCTAAATCTTGAAAGGCGGGAGCTTCTCACATTACAATGCTACAAGCAAAGTTAGAGAGCGGCTCTTTCACTCCCTGAGAATGCTGAATAAGGGCCCTGAGACTAGGTCAAAAGATAGCAAGAGAAAAACAGCATGTCTATACCACTGAAAAGTAATACAATTCAATATTTATATTTTAGCCATAAAAGACTTAGCAGTAAGGAGAAGGTTCCGATTAGAAATCATCTCACCTGCAAAAGAACTCCCACAAATCTAGGTTTTGAATTCTCTGAATTCTTTTGATGCGGCTGCGATCCATTGTTTTCCCAAAGAGATTGGCAACTTCATTATATTCATGTGTTTGATTGTGCAGAGTAATAAGCTGGAAAAATAAGTTTGCATAGCCTTATTGCAATCCTTTCCAGTTTCTCTCATGGTATATTCAGTCAGTTCTGCTCTTACCTGATATGGTACTTGAGTATTCACATTCTCCCAGTGTGGTGGCATAGGGATAGCCTCATTTTCACAGATATAACTTGAAATAGCAAAAGACAAAACAAAATATCAGAAGCTGATTATCATGATTGTCAAGAATTTAGCCTTTTCTTCAAAGCTTAATTTTCATTTTCAGGGTATTGTGACAAATGCAATTAAATATAGACTTTGGCTTCTTTATTTAAAAATTACTGAATGTCTATGTCTGCTACTTTTTAGATGCTAAATAGTGAACTTCTGATGGAAAATATCCAACCCTGTATTATCATCCAAATTTCAAAAACAGTTACTTAGTTTTTTCCTTAAAATGTAGAGAAGATTTTGGACAAAGAAATTAAAAATAAACACAAACTTCTGATGAAAACAAAAGGCTGAAACTCATATTTATATTGCCTGTTGAATAAAATCAAAACTCCTCAACCATTCTTTCAATGTTCTTCAAGATCTAACTCAAACCTAAACCCTTCTCTGTTAATTGCCCTCTGCTCTCTCGACAGTCCACTAACTTTAAGGGTTATTAGCACAGTCAGTCAGCGAATCTTAAAAACTATCAAAATATGTTCAAGGCATTGGATGTGAAGACAGAAAAACACAGTGACATTGCGGGATTTAATAGCAAAAGGCTGAAAAGGCCACACCAATCCTCTCCAGTGACTGCAGCTTACCAAAGAAATTAATAAATTTCAAGCCAATCTTCAGTTTACTTTTTTCAATTTATTTTAATGAAAAAATTAAATATGTTATTTAAAAATTAATGTAGATAAACACACAGTGAGTTTTCCTCCCACTCTAGTCCCTAGTCTCACTTTTTGCCTCAGCTCCTGGTAATTATTATTTTAGTCTCTTGGGTATTCTTCCAGAACTTCCTTAGGTTAACACAAACTAAGCTTTTTCCTCATACGAATGGTAGCATAAGGCATACATTTATTGCACCTGTTTTTTGGGGTTTTTTTTTACTTCATAGATTCTTAGAGATCTTTCTGTAATAGTACATAGTTTTTTTCTGTATTCACATCCAGTGGCTTGAACATGTTTGACAGTTTTTAAGATTCGCTGACTGACTGTGCTAATAACCCTTGAAGTTAGTGAACTGTTGGAGAGAATAGTGGGCAATTAACAGAGAAAAGTTTAGGTTTCGGTTAGATCTTGGAAAACACTGAATGAATGGTTGAGGAGTTTTAATTTTATTTAATACACAATATTCAATAGGCATTATTCCTAGTGCTTACAACAGAACCTGGCACATAGTATACACTCAATAAGTACTGAATGAGTGAATGCCTTCTATTTCACAGATGCACAGAATTCCACTGTATGGATATGCCATAATTTATTTAACTAGTCCCCTAATGATATGTAGCTTGTCTCCAACTTTTTGCTGCTGTATTAAGAATGCTGACCAGAGGCCGGGCGCGGTGGCTCACGCCTGTAATCCCAGCACTTTGAGAGGCCGAGGCGGGTGGATCACGAGGTCAAGAGATCGAGACCATCCTGGTCAACATGGTGAAACCCCGTCTCTACTAAAAATACAAAAAATTAGCTGGGCATGGTGGTGCGTGCCTGTAATCCCAGCTACTCAGGAGGCTGAGGCAGGAGAATTGTCTGAACCGAGGAGGCGGAGGTTGCGGTGAGCCGAGATCGCGCCATTGCACTCCAGCCTGGGTAACAAGAGCGAAACTCCGTCTCAAAAAAAAAAAAAAACAAATGCTGGCCAGGCGTGGTGACTCATGCCTGTAATCCCAGTACTTTGGGAGGCTGAGGCAGGTAGATTACCTGAGCTCAGGAGTTCAAGACCAGCCTAGGCAACACAGCAAAACCCGTCTCTACGGAAATACAAAATATTAGCCAGGCATTGCAGTGTGCACCTGTAATCCTAACTACTTTGGAGACTGAGACGGGAGAATCGCTTGAACCCAGGAGGCAGAGATTTCAGTGAGCCGAGATGGCGCCACTGCACTGCAGCCTGGGCGACAGAGTGAGATTCCATCTCAAAAACAAACAAAAAACAGAATGTTGGAAAAACACATTTGTTCATCTGTCATGTTCTATATCCACTTGTCTATCTGTAAAATAACATTTGAAATTGAATTTCTGAGTTAAATAATATATTTTTTCATGATTTTAAGATACCAACCAAATGCTGTCTTTGAACGTACCTACTGACATTTTCACCAGAAATACAGAAAATGCCCATTTTCCCACAATCACTCCAAAAAGGTATGTTATCAAACTTTTGAATTTTAGTCACTCTGATAGTAAAAATCAGTCTGGTATTAATTTGTTTTTCTCTGACTATGAGTGAGGTTATATGAACTGTTCAAATTATTTGCCCATGTTGATCTTCTATTTAGAGTCCTAAAGGTGCTTCATATACTGTGGAGACTAGCCCTTCAACTATAACAATTAATTAAAATATTTTCCCAATTTTTTGTGAGGAAAAAAATACCTAAAACATACTTGGCCTAAAGTATCTTTTAGCTATAACCAATTTTTGTTTTTGTTTTTGTTTTTATGCAGCCAACAGCTTTAAGTAACTCTTTGCCAATAGGAAGCATGTATTATTTACCTTGCATGTAATAAATGCTCACTGTATTCCTACAGTAAATAAGTATTTCTATATCAGCACTTATTGACCTTCAACACCCTATTGTATCTTACCTAAATAGTCCTCTCCTTTTATTATTATCTTGTTTATAGCCTTCCATTCTGCTTAATTCTCTCCTTGTCCTGTTTTTTTTCCTATGGTTTGTATATTCTGTGACAGAACAAAGTGTTTGATCCCATCATGTGCTTTTTGCCCCCACCAAAGCATAGCAGATACAATGTACAAACACAATAACATCTTCCATTATTATGTCTCATTTTTCATTCTTTCTCCCAGATTAAATACTTTGTGAAGATAAGTAATTCTTTTATTCTATTCTTTGAACTAAAGAATGTGAATATGATGTAGCTAATAAAAAAGTACAATTCTCTATATTCCATAGAAGTACTATTCATTCACTATATAAGTACTTGGAATAACTTTTAAATCATGATGCTAAAATAAAACCAAAATAAATGCTAAAATAAACCCAAAAGTTTTAAGAAACAAACTGAAGAAACTTAAAATATTTCTTTCTTTAATCCTTTCAAAAATCTCCTTGGAAGGAGCCAGTAGGCATCCTCTGCAATTCACATGCTACCTTTTTTTTTTTTTTTTTTTTCAGTTTCATTTTAAATTATTTGAACAAAAAGAATTTCAATACTTGCTTGAGGAATCATTGTAGAAAATAGGAGACATGCTTTAAGATTTTTTTCCTTCAAGTCCATTCACATGAATAACGAATATTTATTGTCTTCTAACATTTATACCTCCTTTTTCAGATTACTTATGGCCAGAGCAAGCAAAAAAGAAAACCTGTAGCCAATTTCCAGGAAACAGAAAGCAGTACTGTTGGCCGTTGTTCTACCGTCTTCCTTAGGTCTCCTTTAGTCTCTACAAATTTGAAATTACTTCTAGGAGTTGACCAATGGAGATCAACGGAGGGGGAAACGAAAGTGGACAATACTTAGGACTTACAGCCCCAATAACTGTTTGGCTCTCAGAGGGTATTTCCAAGTTAACAATTCAAACTTATCTCAGCGAGTTATTTTATGAATTTAGAGTAGAGACCATGCATTTTGTAACTATCATGCGAAGTGTTCTAAAGAATTAAAAAATATACAAGAAGAAAAGAAAAGGGTAACAGGAAAGGAAGCACTTAGAGAAAATAATAATGTTGCTATTTTGTCAACAAATAAGTTTTAATATTTAAAAGATCAGTATTATTAAATGACCTACCAAAACATTTTCGTCTATTTCTTTTTCTGTCCAATAGTAAGAAAGAGAAACCCCACTCTTTCTACCCCTATTCTCTTTACCATACCTGAAAGCACTGATAGAAAAAGGGGCTCTTTTTATTAAGCGCTGCTTTCCAGTGGTGAGATTCATTTGCTTCATTTCTGTATACAAAGACAAGATATTAGGTAAGTCATAAAAACACACTGTGCTATAAAGTGTCATGAAGATTAGGAGCCACACTATGTGATGATCAGGAATCACGATGCTTTGGGAGTAGCTGGCAAGCACAGTGTATTATGGATACTTTACCATATAGCTATGTATCATGTTGTGAAGGTGCTACTCAAGGAAGCACAGCTTCATTGCTTGATCTAAGCTCACATAAAAAGATGCTAATTTCATCCAATGCTCAGTATGCACAGTCTATTCCCTTTCTGTATCACACTTAGGTTAAACAAACACTAAAATAGGAGAGTTCTAAACTTAGGAAAGCTAAGAGTACTCGAAAGAGAGAAATTACAGTATTAAATGTAGTTGGCTGATTAAGTAGAAAAATGTACTTTCATGTCTCCAAAAATTTTGGAAATGATAAAATTTTCACCATTATAAAACTTGCACAACTCACAGAATTTCAAAAAACGTCTACATTTCTTGATTTCTCTCCTAAACTGAAAAAACAGAAAACCTGGCTAGGCCCAGTATAAGAACTTACATAAAAATATTCTAGTGATAAGAGATGAATCACTTAAAGCTATCATTTTCTTCTTTCACCCGTGCCTCAGTCATCGCAATATTTACCAGGTCCATTTCTTCATTCCCCAAAGTTAAGTAGTGATTCTTAATGTAAGATTCTAGTCAGTTTATCTCATCTAGTTGACATCATTCCATTTTAGAGTGAATAGGTTTACCCAACCAGGCCAATGCTAGTATAAAGCGTGTTCTGTCCTTTCTGTGTTCTCCTAAACTCTACACATACTGGATTTACCACTGTTCAGGGAAAAAGCCAGATCACCTCAGCATCTGGAGCAAGACCTGTGATGCCATCTCCTTGGACCATCTCATTCTGAGTTTACTTTTCACCATTCTTATAGAGAGAATCTGAGTTGGCTAGTGGCAGAATGGCTTGCAGCTAATAACTACAAAGAGAACATGGGAAACGCTAATACCTACATCTTTGAAACAGGATTATCACATAGAGGGTTAGGGAACTCAGGTTATTAGTATATGTAACTTCTATTCCTCAATCACAATATTTTTAATAAACTCTATTTTCTGAGAGCACGTTTCCAAAAAGTGTAGTCTACTAAAAGATATCTTTCAGAAACACGTGGCTTGCTGAATTATCTACCAAATCCTTTGATACATTTCACCCTCTACATGAGGCCTAGTGTCTGTGCATATCACTCTGTTTCGGTTCTGCCTCAAAAACACTACTTGTACACATGGCTAAAAATGCCTACCAGACACCTTCTGCCTAGACTGCAGCAAAGGGACAAATGTCAGGGCCTCCTGAATCTTGCTTTAAAAACTACAGGTTTGTTTGTTTGTTTTTGAGACAGAGTCTCGCTCTGTCACCAGGCTGGAGTGCAGTGGTGCGATCTCGGCTCGCTGCAACCTCTGCCTCCTGGTTTCAAGAGATTCTCCTGCCTCAGCCTCCCGAGTAGCTGGGACTACAGGAATGTGCCACCACAACCAGCTAAGTTTTGTATTTTCAGTAAAGATGGTGTTTCATCATGTTGGCCAGGATGGTCTCGATCTCTTCACCTTGTGATCTGCCCACTTGGCCTCCCAAAGTGCTGGGATTACAGGTGTGAGCCACCCCACCTGGCCCTAATGGTTTTTAATTCTTGATAATTTAAAAAAAAAAAAAAAGGCAAGAAAGACAACTGTGGTGGGATAATTATTACATATTTGGTTTAATCAACCCCTTACTGGACAAATCTCCTTCACTGTTTCTGGGCCTTGGCTCATCCAAGGGAATTTCCAAACATTTCACCATACTACCCAGCCACAATATACTACCAACACTGTCGTAAACACACTACTCACAGGAACTAGGAAAGAGCAGCTAAAGGATTAAGCTGTGTAGCAACCAAAATGCACTTTTATTAAGAAAGCCTCCCATTTAGGTCTTGTTTGCCTCTAAGCAATAAATAGCTGAAACCAGCAACTTGAAACTTGAGGAGCTCAGTTCATCAGGTTTTTCATTGGATACCCCAAAACATGTCCATATATATCACTGATGAAATCCAAAGTGGGGCTGATTTCCAGATTATCTGGCTAATTTGTGAGACAGCCAATAAATCAGAAAATGGTAGAAGGCAATGTCCATTAAAGAAATCATTTTCTGGCAAAGACACCAAGAGAAAGGCCATTCAGCTAAAACTTGTTGTTGAAACTACGGCCAGCTACCTATGACTTTCTCACTTAACAACTCAATTTGATCCTTAAAGTAAAAAGGTTCTTACCTATTTCAAAAGACTGCTGGGACATTGAATAAAACAACTGACACAGTGTTTTGCATTCCTTAGAAGGCAAGCATCAAATGCACTTAAAATATATGACAATCTTTACATACATTAATATATACAAACATATAAACACACCTTTTATAAAAGGTAATGTTGCTCAAGATCTTAAAGCTTGGCAGTTTTATAGAGATGTTTTTGTATATAACAAAAAAGACATACTTCACTGTTTGCAAATATATCAACTAATCCTGACCTTCAGAGGTGAAGATTTTATCATATCAGTATACTAAAAACACACAACTATTAGGGAAAAAAACATACCTGCAAAGTCTATCTTGTAGCTGAATTTGGAAGTAGTAAAAGAAATGGAGCCACAAGGGTTTGCTTTGAAGCTTTTTTCGATATCTTCACTGCTAACTGAACACTGACTGTTGGTATCCGGCTTTAAGACAAACCAGAAAGTTTCATTTACCAGCTGTTCACATTAATGACTTTCCCACAGAGGTGGTACTGTGGTCATAGAGACAGGGAATGGAGGGACAAGGGAAATTTACTAATCACCTGTTCTAGTTCCCAATACACAGGGAGGATCACAACTAAGCCAGCATACTGAAAATGGTTTAAGGATCTCCAGTGAAGAAACAACTGGTTAGACTTCCGTTCAATAACTGGATATAGTCTTTTCCAGATAACTACAATTTTTACAGATTATTCCAATAATTATACTTTCTAAGTGGCTCAAATTAAATCTTTGCATTTAGTTTAGTAGAGTTAAAAAAAGACTACAGGTTTTGAGTACGGATTCAAATCTCAGTTTAACTAGCTGTGTGACCCTTGACAAATTATGTCAACTTTCTTTTCTGAGTTTCACTTTCCTTGACTGTAAGACAGAATGTTAACATCTGCTTCCAAGTTATTGTGAGGGTAAGGGAGAAAATAAATGTACAACACCTAACATAATACCTGGCATACAGAAGTGTTTAATATGGATTTGTTCTTCCCTTTCTCTTTGTTCACCAAATCAAACTTGGAGTTGCTCAGATGTACTGACACTATGCAACTCTCAGTCACATTCACCCTCTGTACAACAGTAAACACATACTGTTTCTTCTAAATACATGATTGTGAAAACCTGGGAAAAAGAAAAGGAAAAGAACTAGAAGAATTTCTAACTTTTCTTTTAGTTAAATGATTTGATTTCCTTAATGTTGACTTCAAGTTCTATATTTATACTCATTTTACATATATCAGCAAGGTGATGCTAAGTGAATCAGAAACACTTCTGCTCAATTCAAGGAAAGGAGGTACCTGAAACATGTGCCACTTCCCACATTCTGCCAAGTAAAACCAGCCCCACTGGGTATCTGATGTGTCCATGTCATCCACTTCATTGTTTGTTGTTTTAGATAAGAATTCTTCTGCTTGGTGAAACATCTCCTAAAAAGCCAGAAAGAGGTGAAGGAAAATAAATAATTCTAGTAATAACAAGTATACTTTTTACAGATCATTTTAATTCTTTACAAAGAGTGGTATTCAAGTGTCTTTCCATCCGTGACACTTTAAAAACAGCTTTCTATCTTGCATATTGGCTCTGAAGGTAAACATTTAAAATGTTGAACATCACTGTTTAACAATTTAGGCAAATAATAATCATCTTAGGTAGAATATATCAGTATCTATTCAACCATTCAAGTAAGCTATGTCAACATCAATAAGCACTTCAAGTTTTAAGCACAGTCCTAAGCAATTTCAATTTTATCTTATGTTCATGTATTTGGTCAAAAGGATCCATGGCATCACACTAGTTAAGACCAAATGCATGGAATTTTTATTTTAAACAGTCATTATTTTGTTCAATGGCATAGAAAGATTTTTTTTTTTCTTTCTTGAGATGGTGTCTCACCCTGCTGCCCAGGCTGGAGTGCAGTGGCGGGATCTCAGCTCATTGCAACCTACACCTCCCAGGTTCAAGCAATTCTCCTGCCTCGGCCTCCCCAGTAGCTGAAACTACAGGCGCGTACCACCACACCCGGCTAATATTTTGTATTTTTAGTAGGGACAGGGTTTCACCATGTTACTCAGGATGATCTTGGATGGTCTCAATCTCCTGACCTTATGATCTGCCCGCCTCAGCCTCCCAAAGTGCTCGAATCACACAAATGAGCCACCGCACATGGCCAAAAAGATATTTATATGGTGTTGAGTGTAAAAGATTACAAAAAATAGAAACAGTATAATCCAATTTTAACAAAAATATACTTACCCCTGTGAATGTATGTGTGTCTGTGTAAGTGTGTGTATGTAAATGTTTACACACATACATAGAAAAAAGTCTGGATATATATAACAATTTACCATCATTTTTTCTAAGTGTCAGGATAAAATAATAATGACAGTAATCTTTATATGACTTACTATGTGCCAACTACTGTTCTAAGTACTATACAGATGATAACTCATTTAGGTCTCACAACACCCTAGAGATAGGTACTACCACCAACACAAACTTATAAATGAGGAAAGAAAAGCATAGAGGCCATACAAAGAGGAAGTCCAGATTTAAACCCAGACATCCCAGTTTTAGGATCTGTGCACTTAGCCACCAACATATACCGCATTATACTCCATTGTCAATGAGTCCGTAATTTTAAATATACCGATTAACACACGTACGCATTATCTTTGAAAAGTTTTAAACATTCTTGGTTGGGAATTGTAATGAAGAAGTTCTCTAGAGGGGAGACAAAGAGGCTGGTCAAAGAAAATTAAACGCAATCTGGAATTTGGCTTCCTGTCCTCATTCTTTAAGAGTTTTAAAATTATTAACTTTATACAACTACTACACAAAAATGTTCTCCTTGCAAAAAATCAGAACATTCAAAATAAAGTTAAAGACTTTTTTAACCATCACTTTCATTCCTGGTACCACTCACCTTTCTTCTCCAGGGTTAACCAATGCTATCATTTCACTGCATATCTTTCAGTTCTCTTTCTCTCTCTCACTCTTTATTTACGTGGGTATTATTATACACATATAAAAACAGAGAGAGTTATTGAATATTTGTTACAAATTTGATTTCCTGTATCGTTGATTTTTTTTTTTAAACAAAGAATATGTACTACTGGGTAATTTAGAAAATATTTGCCTTTTAATTTCATCATTTAAAATGTCCATCCTATTTTTAGAAGCTGTAGTAACCTGGAATAAGTTTCTATTACCTTGTCTAGGCCACAGTTGGCTCATCACAAAATGAAAAATGACAGACTCCTTACTCATTAGGTTATTGTTATAAATGACTGAGACAATGCAGTAAAGTACCAAGTACAGTGCCTGAGCTCAATGAAGGGTTTTTGTTTTGTTTGTTTTTTTATTTTTTGAGACAGAGTCTCACTCTGTCGCCAGGCTGGAGTGCAGTGGCATGATCTTGGCTCACTGCAACCTCCAACTCCCAGGTTCAAGCAATTCTCCTACCTCAGCGTCCCCAGTAGCTGGGACTAAAGGCATGCACCACCATATTCGGCTATTTTTTTTTTTATTTTTAGTAGAGACAGGGTTTCACCATGTTGGCCAGGATGGTCCTGATCTCTTGACCTCGTGATCTGCCTGCCTCGGCCTCCCAAAATGCTGGGATTACAGGCGTGAGCCACCGAGCCTGGCCAGGTTTGTTATTTTTTATGTATGTTTGGAAATTCAAGCAATGCTTTATGATTATTTCCCATTTTTTCCTTCATGTTTTAAATTTGACTGGCTTCTAAGAAATGAAAAATAGAACACCGTAGGATCAAAGGCTTCTGGTTTAGGACCCACTATTTACCTTACATATTTTAACCACATAATAAAGACAATGACTGAAATTTTAAGATCAACTGTCCAGTAACCTATTCACAATTCCTGCTGATCCTTTCTATTAACGTTCATTTCATTTGGCCATTTAACTGTGAGAAAGAGAGAAAGAAAGTAAATGTGACCTAAATTTAGTTTTTCTTCTGAAAATAACCAGAAAATTTAGAAGAATGAGATTGGAGCTAATAGTTAAGAAAAGTATTTGCCTTATGAGTTCTATCTTTTCTCTATTAGAAAAGAGAATGGCAAGCAGAAAAGTTCCCTTTATACAGCATACATGTAACATGTGTGCTCTGCTATAAAACACCTTACCGAAGATTTTGCTTTAGGCCAGGTTATAAATGAAAGCGTTTCAGCAACATCTTTTCAGAACTTTCTGTTATAAATAGCTTTCAGTGGGACCTAGGACAGACCCATCTTATATTTGTCACAATTTTAGAGAGGACAGCACTATAGACAGATATCATTGTACTGAACATTCCTGAAGCATTTAAATCTTATAAAATTCCTTATCAATTTATACTATTTTTTTCCTCCACAACTTAATGTGCAGAAGAGGTAAGTAATTCTTTTCCAATTAAAGTCAGGAAGAAAAACAAAGCAGAGAATAATACAATTTTTTTTTTTTGTCTAGAATCATTGCCAGCAGTACAGAGAAGATCAAAGAAACACCCAAGGCCTCCTGAGCATCAGTTCTTCCCGAAGTTACCAAGCCCCACTGCCTCATTTCCACACAGGGACAGTTATTTCTCCTCTCCTCTGTTGTTAACATTTAATTTAATTGCTCTGCTTCACTGATGCTCTGGCTTTCTTTCAAAAGACGGATTTTATACGATTAAACATTACAATTTTCTACAGTAGGTTTTCTCTCCAAAGAAATGGCCATGCATAATTACACTCAAAGAGTGAAGTCAAATTTAAATTAATACTTTAAAATATTGCAACCATAGTAATAATGGCTCTAGGTTAGGACACATTTATAGATTAAAAAAAGAATATGCACTAGTTATCTTTCATGAAGTAAGGTCAGAAGAATGAACTTGTTCAGTCACAATGACATATTCTGTCTGATTTTCCTGTTTATAATTGAAAGCAAGCAGGGAAGGAAAAAAAAAATCTCGTACAAAGTGGCAAAGCATTCTGTAAAGTTTCAAGGCCAATGGATATGCTGAGAGGGCCTGCCTGTAATGTTATCTGTTACAAAGATAATCTTTATTTACAGAGCCTGGGAATAGTCAGTCTGGATCAACAAACTGAAAAGCTGTGCAGAAAATGAGTTTAAATCCTGGTCTATATGAGGTCTAGTCAAAATCCTGCTCTATATGAGGAAAATAATGCTGCCTTCCAGACTGGTTTCAAGTTTTCCGATATAAATTTTAGACTACAACACAGTATAATTTTTTCTGTTAGCGTGAGTAGAATATCTTGAGGAAATCATATTTGGTAATAAAAACTTCCTTGCCTCTACATATAAAAAAGATCCCAAACCTGATCCTAAAAGCTTAAAAATGAACAAGAACTTCCAGAATGACAGAAAGAGCTCAGTGGAACTGGCGAAATCACATTTTAAAAACTAGTAAGCTGGGCGTGGTGACTCACACCTGTAATCCCAGGGCTTTGTGAGGCTGAGAAGGGAGGACTACATGAGGCCAGGAGTTTGAGGCAAGCCTAGACAACATAGTGAGACTCCATCTCTACAAAAAAATAAAATAAGAAGTACTCAGGCATGCCAATGCATGCTTGTAGTCCTAGCCACTTGAGAGGCTGACATGGAAAGACTATTAGAGCCTAGGAGTTTGAGGTTGCAGTAGGCTAAGATCATACCACTGCACTCCAGCTTGGGCAACAGAGCAGGACCCTGTCTCACAAAAATCAATTAATTAATTAAAAATTAAAAACTGCTGAAAATTGTTTTTAAAAAAACAAACGTTTAAAGTCTCTGGAAAGTGTACTGAGGACATACAGAAAGTGAAGAAACATTCATTCAAGAAAATTTACTAAATCTCAGAATAAGTTAGAGTCTGTGGCATTTGAGTTACAAAGTGCACCATCCCCCACATCCTACCAGGTCTTTGTTATGTGGTACATGTAGCCAAAAGACAGGCAGAGGGCTCCCTCTCCCTCAGGCTCCCAGACTGTGGCTAGTTTTACCCTGGGAGGGGCAAGCTGCCAGTGTTTCTCCTCTCCTTTAGCCCAGAGATGCAGAAGCTCTGTTCTGGAGAGGTGATACAGAGGACCAGTCTCTCTTCCCCTATCCAGCCCCTATTCAAAAGGTGGAAGTTCTATTCCATGTGCAGCAGGCTGAGAATATTGGCCCTAACTGCCACCACCCAAACTGCTCCCAGAGTAGAGGTTTTGTGCCAGGAGCAGCCAGCGAAATGACCAAGGGCTGCTACCACAACCCCAGTGCCTACTCTAAGAATGGAGTGTTACTCTGGGAAAAAGAAGGCTCTCACCTTCAGCTCCCGGTGCAGTGGCATGAAGATTTTGCTCAAGGGGAAAGACAGGATGTCAGGACAGACCTCTACATTTCCACCTGAGAGGACTGACTTTATTTGGAACAGAGAGGAGGACCCCATGCCTGAAGGGACTA